TGTCAAACTCAGGGTTCTGCCTGCATAGTATGCCCTTGGTTGGACAGCGTGCATGATTGGCAGGCAGCCTGAAATGCATTCATGGCACACTGGCCTTCCAATTCTTTGGACAAACATGCCCCCTTTTTGGGCATGTTCACCCCTTTTGGCAGGTCTGGTCACATGATTCGCACCAGTGGCACACTCTTTTACCCTGACCATTGATTTCACTAGACATTTCTGATAGGGGGTATATTTACTTGAAAGATGAAAGCGTGAGATTAGCATAGTGTATGTGTTTTCTTATAGCTGCATCCTTTGAGTGTCCCTCCAACACCATCTCCATCAGATACATGATGCTTGGAAGGTATGATTGTGTTAATGTTTTTGGTCGATAAGATTCTGTAATTAGGCCCATCATAATTGTCGGCCCACTGGGCTCTTAATCTGGCCCTGGTCTTAGGAGATGCTTGCAGGCCCTTATCATGCCCTTGAGGGAGGATAAAAAGCCTAGAGGACCTCCTTCAGCTGCCAGCTCTGTCAAGGTAGACAGATAAACAGCAAACGACATCCAGGGTGTGAGAAAAATGTTCCTCCTAGAAGAAGGAGATGGGAAGAAAGCAGGCAAGATGATCTTTTGGTTCATATGAAATGATGAAACTACTTTAGGCCTGAACTCTGGAACTGTTCTCAGCATCACCTTATCCTGTTGGAATGAGATGAAAGGCTCGTCTGATGAGCGTGCTGACAATTCTGAGACTCTTCTACCTGAAGTCAAGGCAACCAGAAGAGATGTTTTAAGAGTAAGGAACATAACTGGAATCTCTGTTATGGGTTCAAATGGGGAACTCTGTAAGGCTGACAGGAAAAGGGGCAAGTTCCAAGGAGGAGAAATGGACTTGATATGAGGTCTGATCTGTATGACAGCCTTCATAAAACGAGTCACATCAGAGTCTAGTGGATAAAAACAAGTAAAAAGGATAAGAGTGCGCCTAAAAATTTATGCAGAATATAAAATAATATAGAGTATAAAAAGTAAAATAATAAAATAAACAATAAGAAAAAGTCCAAAACACTTATCAAGAGTCCGTAATAATAGGTTCTTATGGGAAGACAAGGAGTCTTGGGACGTCTGGCGGTGTGGAATCTTCACAATGGTAGGCTCAGATCCAGTGGAGAATATATAAAAGGGAAACAGAAACAGGAACTCCAATGGTACAGTATATCAGTAAAAATGAGATTCTAGAATAGTGAAAATAGCCGTACTCACACTTTTCAGAGCTAGATTATAGCTCTGATATTATGCGCATGAAGTGGAATGATCCCCACTCAAGGATATGCAGGAATATTGTTTGATTGGAGGGTTTCTGGCCCAGATTCGGTGTTCAAATTAATATTATTCGACCCAAAATGAGAGAAAGAGAATATAGTGCTCTCTGTATATGATTAAACGTAAGAATATAAAGTAAATAACTTACATTCTCTAGAGCAGACTCATACTGCTCGGTGTAGATGTTTGGGTGGTATAATCCCCACCTATGGATTCTTTAGGCTCCTTGTGGATATAGGTCAGGTGGAAAATTAAAATAAATTAAAATAAAGAAAATAAAGAAAAATGGCAATAAAATGTCTTATGCCAAATAAAATTCTTTATTATAAAGTAATTGATAAAATATCTTAAATATCTAAACGCGTTTCGCCTCAAAAGGCTTCTTGTGTCTGCTCAGGAAATCCGCCTTGATATTCATGGAACCTGGAAGGTAAATCACACATATACTCAGAAGTTGTTTTTGTGGCCATTTCATGAGAGAAACCATAATACTCATCATCCTTGGACTGTGAGGACCTCCTTGGTGGTTCACGTATGCCACCACTGCAGTGTTGTCTACCTGTAGTTTCACCCAATGGTGTCGGATTCTTGACTTTAGGTGATGCAAGGCCTCGAAAACCGCCCTCAGTTCCAGGTAGTTGAAAGATGCTCCTCGGAGAGATACAGACCATTTCCCTTGAAGGTATATCTGGTTCAGATGGGCACCCCATCCTGTTTGGCATGCATTTGTGGTGACTACCGTCCAAGGTATGTCTCCCAGGGGAAAATCTTTGGTCAGGTTTGCCTTTGAGAGCCACCATCTGAGAGCTTCCTTTACTTTGGATGTAATATGAATGGGCTGGTTCAAATCCAGATGCTTCTACTGGGTCAGGAAGGATCTCTGAGGGATCCGGAGATGCCATTGAGCCTATCGGATAAGGCGTATAATGGATGAAAGGGACCCCAGAATGCTCATGTAAGTTCTTGCAGTGATCTTGCGATGACAAAGTATTCTCCTCAATTTCTCTTTCAGCTGATAGACGGACAAACCCTAGATTTGTATAGAACCAGGCCCCCAGATAGATCATCTGTTTACTGGGTTGGAGTTGACTCTTCTGGAAATTCAGAACTCAACCATGGTTCTCCAAGATCGATCTGGCAATGTTTCGATGGGCAATCAATGATGGGTAATTCTTTGCAAATATCAGGATGTCGTCCAAGTAGTGGAAAATGAAGATACCCTTCTTCTTGATTTTTGAAATCAGGGAAACTAGGACTTTGGAGAACACCCTGGGTATTAAGCTGTGGCCAAATGGAAGGGCCCTGAACTGCCAGTGTTTGATGTTCAGACAGACCTCAGGAACTTCTGATGTACACCGGCGATTGAGATGTGGAAAAAGGCATCCTTGAGATCAAAGGAAATTAACTAATCGCCTTGAGATACTGCCTGGAGGATGGAGGCTAATGATTCCATCCTGAATCGTGTGGCACACAGAAAGGTATTGAGTATGGACAAATCCAGGATTGGCCTCCATACATCCTTGCCTTTTGGGGCAAGAAAAAGCCTTGAGTAGAATCCCTGAAACGTTCTTCTCTGGGAACTTGGCAGATCACCAATTGTCGGGACAGAGAATCTATGAATTCTAGAAGCGCCCTTCTTTTTCTTACATTTTCTGGAAATGAGGACCTGAAGAATTTTCCTGAAGGAGGTGTCTCCTCGAATTCTAGCCGATAACCTTGGGAGACCACCTTCTGGACCCACAGATCCTTGATGGTGTGGCTCCAAGTCTCCGAGAAATTAAGCAATCTGGCGCCTATTCCTGGAGACTGAGCCTGGAAGCAGTCAGAATTTTTTATTCTGGCAGGCAGATGACACTCTGCCCCTACCACCTCTATGAGAGGATTGACTGGCCTTCCATGGCTGGCTCAGAAAGGACTGTCTTCCAGGTCTGTATTGCATTAAGTCTCTGAATGACCTCCTGTCTGCATTAGAGGATCTTCTGTTGCTCCTGTTACATGGCAATAAGGCTTTACTGCCTTCTGCAGCCTTTTTGATGCACTCATTCAGCTGACATCCATTTCCAATCCATACTAAAAACAATACATAGATGGATTTGCTAAATAATAAAGTATAATATATTATTGTATATATATTATTTTACAGTCTACACTATTAATTGTGTTTTTGTATTTTTGCGTTCTGCCATCATATTTAATTTTCTGCTGCAGTATTTCATTTTTAACACTCTATATTTTGGTTGTGTATAAAATAAAACAAATATATTGTTCATTACTTAGAAGGAGACTGTAACAGTAAGATATAAAAGTGACCCTTTTGTGTCCAGTGGCCGGGTGAGGGGGGAGGCAGGGAAAGATGAGATATATACAGTACCTGGAGCAGTCCTTTGTGGGCGCAGCCATTTTGATCCACTGTATCCTCTTTAGCCGTGGGTGCTTCAGCTGCCAGGAGCTGATGTCGTTGCTGTACTCTTGTGCATGTGCATGAGTACAGCACAGAGCTTTATAGCGGAGACAGTGGGATCCTCTATAGACAGAGCTTGAAATGACAAGCTTGACAAAATGTAGGTCCTAAAACGTCCTTTAGTGCCACCTTAACCTCTGAATCAGTTAATGAAATTTTGATTTTGCATTATTTTTCAAATAAGTAAAGGGTCAATCAAGGTACATAAAATACAGTATCACACAGGGCCCTGGCAAGTTATCAGTTTGAATCCCATTCCTATCCACTCTCAGTATAGGGATAGTGAATGGGGCCAAGCTTCGTCAAGTATGGTTGTGGCTACTGACTAATAACCTTGGTGGTGTGTCCAAATATGTGCATGAGCTACATTTCTCCAAAATAACTCTAGATGACAATACATTATGACATTGGTAATGTTAAGCAGCAACACTACACATACAGACTCCTGCGACCATGACCATTTAAAAAAGCAGAAGTGGTCATGGTGGTTTGAGTAACCCTTTAAAAAAAAAACCATACTGGTTATTCCTGGTAAGGTCAGGGTCTCCATAGCATTCCTGGAGATGGTTATTTTGGAGACACTATTATTTTTTTAGGAAATGTAAGCTTTGCTGTGTGGCCATCATAGCTTTCTGCTATTCCATAATATAGGATCTGAAGTATCAAAGCTGGTACAATTGTTGGTTTTGTATTTCATTATTGTGGTAAGCACTCCTTTAATGCAGAAACTGGAAAGATTGTTGGGATTAGTCACCCTTCCTTTCCCCTGATCCTTAATAAAGTACTGATAGCACTAGTATTCATAACCACGAGTATATTCAGTTTCCCACCACTACTGAGGAATATTGGCAAATCAGGGTTTATCCTATGAGGCGGCATGTATACCTAAAGTGCTGGCTGGTAGTGACTGCATTCATGTCACGATGAGCAGGCTATCAGGAAGGGAGGGGGATGGAAAATATGCAAAAAGTACTTCTCTTTCTTCGTCTAGAGCATCTGTGATGGCCATCTGTACATCATGCATGTAAACATAAGGAGCCCTAGCTCCAGTTATGATTCCAGGATACTGCAATGAGAAATATATCACATAGAAATTTGACAGTAGTTCACTGGATGGCTTCTGCTTAAGTAAAAAAAAAGAAATAAATCGAATTTACACAAATATTTATATATATATATTTTTTATTATTATTTATGATGATGCCCAAACTGTGAGCAGTGTATGTGTTTAGCAGAGCAATCTTCCTCTCATGGGTCTGCTATGCACCTTAGATGAAATGCGTGTTCAGTGACTGTAGTTTTAACTGCCTCAAGTGAATCAATAATGTTCCTGAGCAGTGTTATCGTAATGTCACTATATCCACACTGTCTATTTTACTTTTCTCATTGTCTTCTGTATTATCTCCTGCACAAAAGTTGTATAGTGCAACCAATTGGAGAGGAGCTATGGAATAAGATCAACTTGATGCTGTCCATTCAGTAGTGTCATTGGATGTTCATCAGGCATAGGATTAAATGCTGTGAGGGGTAGGACTATCATCTCCTCCTCCTATTCTTCCACAATGATGAGTGTGTCAAAGATTCCTCTGCCACGTGTTCCTGGAGGGGCCTGCTGGCTAGGCTCCTGCTCAAAGACTATGGGACATGTTAAAAGTTGACTTCCATGGAAAATCCGAACCACTGAACCAATCTGAGTGATTTTTGGATATGATGGTCACTCAGATCAGGGCTATCCATGGATGTGACTCCTAAAGGGTTTCCATGGATTTTGGGGGACTTTTAGGGATGTTGTAAAATTGTGTGTTATTAGGTACCTGGAGAAAATTGAGTTTGTACAGTTCCTGACTCAATTAGCTCTCAGGCACAGAGGAGTAGTATGTTGCTTGTATGTGCCTCTCCTCCTTTTTCCTGTCCTGTTGTTTCCCCAGCAGGGCAATGTCCCAGGGACACTGCCAGACTAGTTTAAACTACCAGCTTTGTCCCTCCTTAACCTCCCATCAGCCCTTGTTATTGTCTGACCCCACCCTTCCTTGTACTATAGTGCTCTATGTACAATATTCTATGTAAATGAGGCTGTTGGGGGTTAACATGTGTGTATAAATTGTGAGTGCTTGCCTGCATTAAACAGAACTACTCCCAGCATTAAGTCTCTGCTAAGGTGTGGGGGGGACTGCTATACTGGCTATAATTATTACTATGCAGCTATACTCTAGAGGAGAGGTCTACCCACTGGGAGCTGGAACCAGGACTTGGGTCAAGGGTGGAAGGAGACGGCGAGACCCCAGCCAAGCTACGGCGGGTAGGGCCTGGAAGAGCGTATGGTGTCCCGGTGATCACTAGGAAGCGTGCTTGGCGGAGGTACCCTATCGGCATACCAGGCTGTCCGCCACAACGAGGATGTCATAAACTATTGGAGCAATGAGAAGAAAAGAGAACTGTTGTTAAATTGCTGTTACATCATACTAAAAACTGTTTATCATCTGACAGCAGTAATTCATTTGAATCACATGTATTTTATTTCTACATTTTTCCATTTCTTAACGTTAATATACTTTTATGTATAATAATATTTTTTTTTTATGTAGAATAGGTTAATTAGTCTTTTTTACCAGATTGCCAGTAAACACTGCCATTTCAGACCTCTCCTCGGACATCTCAGATGGAGGAGCATGACTGCTGCACATTTTGCAAGGGAGACGGATTGGTCAGTAAGTTAATAAAGGAAACATGTTTGCATTTGCTTGGCAGTTGGCAGCAGAAAGGTTGAGTGAGGCTGACTTTTATCTTCCCTTTCTCCCAATACAATTTGTTCAAATCAGTGTGTGGAGGAAGTGTTTTGTTTGTGGTTTTTTTCTCTCTTTTGTCACAGCTGTGGTACTCCTTGCCAGCCTAGCAGTTATTGGAAGATGAACATCTGCCTACTTTGGCTTTGGGCGTCTGGGTCAGCATGGATGCTAATGGCGGATTGCTCCAGTCTCTGGTTTTAAGTATATTTTTAAGCAAGCTTATAACTTGAAAGCTGTTGTGCACTTTAGGGCACGGCACATTTGCCAGGTGTACTACACAAGGATGTCTTTGTAATGTTCCCCCCGCTTGTGTACTTCCTGTTATTTATGTTTTGTATTACATTTTGTAGTTTTTATTTGTCAATTATGTGTCCCTCTCTTTTATGCAATCCTGGGTATTATCACCACTGCTCCTTGCTTGTCTGCAGGTTTGATAGTAAATGTGTAATTGTTTTTGAAGTCAATTATAGCAATTTTTGCATGTGGTGAAAGGAGATCTATCTGTCTGTCTGTCTGTCTGTATATATATATATAAATTGTATGCATGGCCCTAGTAATTCAAATGCTCAGTCGGAAGATTTTTAAAAAATATATTTTTTTATTGTGTTATTGCATCACACATATATCAGCTAGACATAGATAGACAGAATTGATCAAGCAGATACATCAAAAGAATTGTTCAAGTAAACGAGATTAAATACAAATGAGATTGTGAATACCTCCCTAGAAGACATAACATTTGCAATATTAACTTTTAGTCATTATTGGCCCAATACCACAACATATATAGTGACAGTGGGCTGGCCTGCATGATTGATAGGGAACCTGACATGCATTCAGGCCAGACTGACCTGCTATTTACTCGGTTGGACACGTCCCCTTCCAGCAGATCCATTCCTTTGGGCTGGATGTAGTAACACAATCGCACAATGACCAGCCAGCTTTACCTCCCTCCTACCGGCATCCAGATTTGCACTGTGTGTAGTAAAAAAAAACAATTTTAAATCTAAAATCAATTTATTTTTGGTCATTTTGGACTTTCTGCAATACAGAATGGTATTACCTTTAGATTTCAGGTGATATTCCAGAAAATAAGCCATTACACGTTAATGCTTGTGACTAGGTGTCCTGCATATGTATAAAAAAATAAATAAAATAAAAAATAACAAAAAAACCTGAAAGGCTGAAATAGTCAAACTGGAAACATTTTCAGTTTGCCTATTCTGGACTGAATTGGAAATTTCTGTTAAATTCTGACAATTCACACTTTAGTCAATAATTATGTAAAAATATCTCAGAGAATATCAAAGAATATCTTAGAAAAAACATTTAATTGTCATTCACACACACAATTATTTATTTCCATCGTTTAGAGTGACTGTCTAAAAACCAAGTTTGCATTATACATTGTAAATTCTAATATCGATAAAGGGTTTTAAATTAGGGAATTTCTCCCCCATATGTAAACCATTATTACCAAATCCTTGTGTCCATACACTCTTCTTTAGTGCTGTATTTTAAATGGGCCACACAAGACTCCTAAAGCTTGCTGAAGTGCTTTATGTGTGAAGAGTGTGTGCTCTTTTTATCATTTTACAATACATGCAGATTTCAATGGAAATTAACCTGGTTACAGCCCCTGGCTTTTAAACAGGAAACAGGTTCTGTTACTTCCTGGTTTGGCTAGCTCAGGGGAGCTAAACTCAAGAGGCAACAATTGCCCAGAGCACCCGACTTGCAAAGACGTCTCATTGCATTGGGCAGTCTGTGATTGGACAGTCACAGAAAGTTTGGGTGGGGTTAAAAGGGGAGGATTTGCCAAGGAAGCATATAAGAGAAGTGCAACTTTTACAAGTTGTTTTTAGATATAACTCCAATGAAAACCTGCATAACTAAATGCATGCATGTTTTCATTGGGGGTACATCTACTAAAGAATGATTTTGTTTTCCATTTGGGCAGCAGAATCCCTTTAAGTATTAAGTACTGTGCAAATACTAGTGTGATAATTCACAACTGCTTCTATGTATATTGGAAAATATTATATACTTTATAGTCACTTACTTTTAAATAAATAGTGTACATGATTTAATGGACCTAGTATATCTTAAGTAAATTTGCTAAATCTAGGTTATTAATCATGATAGGCTCCGAAGCTTCTTAATATCAAAATATTATGAGGAGGTTTACTAAATAATGGTCACCTGGAGTGCAAACATTTTGTATCCTATATAATCTTTGTCATTTTGTTAATTTCAAATTCTGGGAAAATATTGACTTTTAAGTCTATGTACATCTATCTTTTGTGTTTGTTTAGTTACTAATGAAATATTTGAAGTGCTTCTGTGGTATTGCTACCTTCCCATGAAGGCGGTCTCATTGTACAATAATATTTAAATCTCATAAATTGCACAAGCTATGTAATTGGATGTTGTATTTTATGTTCAGCAATCACTTTGGTATGATGGAGAAGCATATGTTGTTAATGTGTCTGCTTGGGATGGCAAAGGACATATGTAAGTAGAAGCTATGTATCTTCTCCAGTAATTCATTATACATTATAATTGTTATACATTATAATTTTTTATATAACCTATATTATAATATTTAAGCAACTATTGACTAGTTTACTATTCAGTCATAAAGGTACAATGCATCTTGTCTAAAACAATCTTATTGTGTGACGTGATTTATTACTAAAATTATATTACTTTAAAATATATTATACATATATACATATTTTTTAACGTATTAGGTGCTATATAATATTTACTGGCAGCCTATTGACAGTGTTTATACTTAAAATTCTGAATATTTATGGAAAATATCCAAATTATTGATATTAATTTAGTGTACAATGGAGAACAAGTTGTACGTTTTACATTTTGATGAGATGATGAGAACGTTGAATATAACGTTCTGAGAAACACTATTTTTAAAATATTCTCGAGAAACATTTTCTGAATATTTGAAATAGCATAAATTGTGTAAATAATAAAAAAATAGAAAATTTCTAATGTAGAAGCTTAAAATTACAAAACTGTAAATATTTATTCAAAATGTGTGTGTGTGTGTGGGTATATACACACACACAATTGTTGTAATACTGCTTAAAACAGGGGTAGGCAACCTTCAGCACTTGACATCTTGTGGAATATCTATCTCTCCTGATATATAATGCTCTTATAGCCAGCATTATGTCTATAAGAGCATTGTGAGAGATGTAGTTCACAACATCTGGAGTGCCAAAGATTGCCTTAACTCTGGCTTCGAGTGTTGGTAAGTTAGGTTATTCACTAAACCGGTAATTGACTAGGGAATTGCAAATTTAAACCAAAATGTGAAAGGATACAGTTTGCTACTCATATGGTTAACCAGCTGAGAAATCTTGGCCTAAATGAATTTACAAGATTATATAATAAAAATATAAGTTTAGGTCATAGCATAATAAGCATGCCGGTCACATTAAATACAATCTTAAACAAAGTTTGATAAATATATTACATTCATTTTACATTGTTTCAAATGCTAAAATAATGTGAATGTGTTGGATTTAATACTCATAGGTTATTTACAACATTTCTGTTTCGTTAAAATGTTAATAAATGCCTGAACCAGCTCTGTGGCTAAAAGATAATGGAGTAAAATATTAAATAATAGTACTGTGCCAAATTGTGTATTTTGAACCTTGATGGATCTTAAAGTTATAGTAACTCACACATTGGAGGCTTGTCCATAGGGACAGTTTTTTAGGTAACAGCATGAGTGGATGGTGTTGGTCCTCTTTAAAGTGGTTGTAGTTTCTCAAATAGGTGGATTCATTGAGTCATTGTTTTAAGCAAAGCATGACCTCTTATCGGGTCAGGGACTGAGTACATGGATTAAATGTCTAAAGCCAAAAAAAGTCAGAGGGCAGAGTAATACTTCATTTAGTTTAACCCCTTAAGGACACATGACATGTCTGACATGTCATGATTCCCTTTTATTCCAGAAGTTTGGTCCTTAAGGGGTTAAATTGCACCAGAAACCCATACCAGTGTTACCAAATAGAACAGGACTACTTCAGAGGAAAAGCATTTTTCATTGCTATAGAAGTACAACATAGACGACATATACAAAATAGATAACTAAATGCAGAATTTAAAGATCTGTTTTTACTATTTGTGCCCTGTATTCTATTCACTTTGTTCGTCAACAATGTTGATCATTCCGGCAGGAATTTTAAGTTTAACCATTTGCTTACTTAAATAAAAATAAATTAATTAAATAAAACAAACCAAAAAACCCTGGAATTATTACATTAAACAAACATAACCCTTTCGAGCATTATTTTCTGTTTCAGGAGGTTTACGGAGACTGTCACAATCTGATTTAGAATATATTTGTTTTAGACGTTTTACAAAATAATTTAGTAAAGATCATTAAAATACAATACCTGAATTAATTCTAATGCAATATGTCCAGATAGCAAACTGAAATTGTATGTCGAGTACCGAAGCGCAATTCAACTAGAACCATTCATATGCGTAAATCTGTGAATTGCTTATATACTACTGGCATGGATATTTTCAGTAGAGGTTAGGAGACCATGTTCTCTTTTTATTAGATACATTTCAACTTCTTAACTTCTCCTTTTTGACTGCTATGTAATGGCACCTCAAGTGTACTTTTTTATTTAAGCATCTATCCACCTCTGCTTGTGACTTTTTTTCATCAGTGTTATGTTAATAAGAAGATCATTTTATTAGTGAGAAATTATTTCCTGATCTAATGGAACTAGAGAGATTGGCTGATGACATTTCCTCCTTAGGAGCAATTCTCCAATTTTATTTATACATAAAAAAAAACATTAAAAACAAACAGATTTCAGAGTTTTGTTCATCATAATTTCTGCACAACAAGTGCAAAAACAAACAAACAGAAAAAAAACCGCAACTAGCTTGATTTAGTTCTAATTATTAGTTCTAACTATTATTTTTTTTGTGACAGTTACAGGATAACTATTGCAAAGAGTTAATTATTATTTTATTATTTATATAGCGCCATCAGATTCCGTAGCGCTGTACAAAGGGTGGACTAACAGACATTTAATTAATCATGGTCTTATTTCGAAACCTTTGCAAACATTTATCTGCAAATATTACAACTTTAATAGCAGCCCCAGAATCCAAAACCACTACAGAAAATTGTATGTTTGTAGTAAATATGTCCCTATTATTTAAATAAGTGAATTTTTACAGTTAAATTTAAATATTTTATCCCCAGACTCTGGTTATAATAATATGTGTCTCATTTTTATGGAGCATTTTGCAAACTCCACCAGTGTAAAGGCCCCGTATTTCTTAAAAAATATCTCAAAACCCTGAACGTATTACCAGGCCTTAGAATGGCTGGATTTAACTTAAAAACTAGAATTAACAGGACAAGCCGAGGTCAGGGGTACAGAGAGAGGTTTAAGGACAATAGAGATCAGAATAATCAAATAAAAGAGCCATAGATCAAATTCACAGAGGAATCAATAAGAAAATACTCTCTTGAATAAACCACTATTATAAACCATGACAGGGCATGGTATAACTGACAAACAAAGTGTAAAAGGCCGAGAGGTCTGTGATTCGCTATTTGTGATCACATTACCTTGGAACTTGCGTGTGGGACATCACATGCATATTTGCGTCATAATTGGACACAGGGCCCTTAAAAGACTGGTGTCTATTAGTGTGCTGGATGCGAGTGCTGCCCAGAGCATGGGAATCTGCTGTGGCACCCCCGACCCTGACCAGCAATGTGGAACCGCAGCTTAGGTGAGTGTGGCCATCGGCTGGTGTGACAATCTTGTATGTTATATGAATTGGCTCCAGCAGCACCCTTGTAATGTATGTATGTTCATGTGAGTGCAGCCCTCTTGGATTCATATATATTTATTTATATTTGGGAGTCAAGGGTCCTATTTAACCTTGCACTGCCGAAAAAATCCCAGTATGAAGCTTTCCCCAAGTAAGTGGACTAATCTTCTAAGAGCAAGCATTAGGTTGCTAGGATAGGACCTGCAAGGTGTGAGCATATGCTGTAACTAAACTCCCCAAACAAATAAAATAAAAAAACTATTACATTCTATAAGCTTTGAAATTGCTTTTTAGTAAATAAGTGAGTCTTTTGGATGTTGTATGAATTGGATATGTATATTAGTTTATAAAAACTTAATATTGTCACACTGTCACAAAAGGGTCAAAACCTCACATCCACCACCTACTTTTTTTGCTATTATTTTAGCACTTGCAGTTTGAAATGCTGTTAAACATTGCTTACAGGCTTAGTTAAAATAATTTTTTGTGGTTGGCATACACCAGATGAGAGGAATACAACAGTAAGATAATTAAATGTGAAGCTAATAATAGTAATTTGAGTTTAATATGTAGCACAACCTTATGTACATCATTTAAATATACACTCTCCACACCATGTCTTTATCATGTCGACAGCTTGTTCAGGAGAAACTACCTCTTTATCAAAGGTTACAGCATCAAAAGGAAGTCTTGTGATTCTAAACTGCTCAATTGGAGAAGCAGAATTGAAGAATTATTACTCACGCTGGGATTTCTATCCTAATGCTGGTGACTCTCTTAACCCAACTTGGAGCGTAACTCAGCAATATAATCCAGGAGAAAACACATATAATGTCCACAAAAAATATCCCCCTTCATCACTGGTGATTAAAGACGCTCAGATAAATCATACTGGATATTATACATGTAATATCACTAACGTTTTACCACCTCCATTTAAATCGTTTCTAGGAACAAAGATTCATCTCACTGTCCAAGGTAAGAATCTTACAGATTTTATGTTGTTCTTGCAGTTTAAACAATATATCTATTATTCACTGAGTAAAGTTGTTGTTGTTCTATACCCAGTCCTCAAGTACCACCTAACAGTCAAGGATTTAGGGATTACCCAGTTGTATATAAAGTGTGTTTAGAAAAGAAAAAAAAAAAACTTTAGAAACAACAGGGCAATCCCTAAATCCTGGACTGGTAGGGGGTACTTGAGGACTTGGTTAGGAACCCCTTTTCTATATGATCCTTGGACAAATTTGACTTTTTTATAGCATTGTATAGGTAAAACACACAAATTCACTATGTATTCAATAATCAATATATTTTCCTATGGATCCATGATTTTTACAAATAACCTTCACTGGATGACACTGTGTTATATTTAAATGTGTTTTACAAACAGCTTGTGTACGTAGTTAAAGAAAATATATCAAGACTGCATTAAGTTCTTTGGAACTTTCCCAAGCTGTGTAAAATGACAGAGTACTCTGATTGGTTGGATTTCAAATTGAAAGCAACCAATCACAGTGTTATGAGTCATGGAGCACTAGACATGCCCCTACTCGCGATATAGTGAGTAGGGGCAGAATTTACTAATACTAAGTAATCTTTACTTAGTGTTAGTAGATTTGGCTGAAAGACCAATGTAGGTCGTTCAGCCTTTTGGTAGATAGCTCCCTAATACCATAGGAATTAGGGAGTTATCTACTAAGCGGCTGCAAAATGCAGCCATGGCAAGAATAGGATCGGAGTTTCATTCATTTGAATTAAATACTGATACGAACAAAGTCCCGAAATGCATCCTAACATGAATGAACAAACTGTTCTCATTCTGTTAGGACGCAATTCGGTAGTTTTCTGTCTAAATGACAGGACGTTCGGGAAAAGTGAAAGGAAGCATCGCAGGAACACGAAGGAAAGGTGAGAATTGTGGGGAAAATTGCTTTGATCACCGGAAATGAAGCACACTTTGCACTCTCCAACCTCCATAAGACAAATAGTCCCTACTTTGTCTTATGTTTTAAACAAAACTAGAGCAGACAGGAAGAAATGAAGAACATATCCTGACAGAGGGAGAGAAGAGGAAGCATTTAAAGAAAGGTAAGTTTGGCATGACAGTGCCGCTTTAACTAATATCTTTCGAGTTTATCTGTTGATTTTCAACAGTAATATTTTAAAACTAATATATTAAATGTTTTAGTTAAATTGACACTAGTAGGTAAGTGCCTTTTTATTTTATTACTCTCTACCTAGGGTAACCCCCCCCCAGCTGAGATTTTTAGTTCCTATCTCTTTCCCCATTAAAATACAGCATAAATTTATAGGGGAGGAAGTGAGTCTCATACTATTAATCGGCAAAACTCCCTCAGAGACACTTTCGCTGATCGACTCCGCCCATGCGTCTGATGTCAGATGCAGCACCATTAAAGGGCAGCTGCGGTTACTTTGAAATTACTCAGTTTATTTGTTGCAAAACAAGACAAATTTGCTGATTGAGCTCCCTCCTTTGAATTTACGTGTACCGAATCCTGCTTATACCTACCTGACTCTGCTGATATCTCCAATCCCTGATTCGAACCGGACTTCAGACTACTCTACAGCCTTTCAACTCAAGCTAAGTTGTTAAAGTAACTACTTCTATATAAGTTATAAAACTTTACCTCTCCTATTATTTCTGCTGGATTATCTCTATAACAGACTTCTGCCAACTACTCCTTGCATTACCTGCTTGAAGGAAGGGAATTCAATTATCTCTTGTTTAATTCTTATTTCCATTCCTAATTCCTGGCTATTTAAACAAATAAGCTCTCTTTCATTTCTTAAGAAATTTTTCTGCAATTGTGTTCCACATAATCTGTTTCTAACTTTGGAATTGACAGTCAGATGCAAAGTAAGACTTTCTCCAGCAGCGTTCAGCAGTCAGCGGTCAACTTGGTGTGCAAGGGTTGTAATTGGGGGCGCTTTCTGCATTTAAGTGTAGTAGGTGCCATGAGATCTAGTTGAGAGGAGAGAGTGGAGTTGTAGAGGGAGGTTGCAGTGTTAGGCCAGGTTTGAGATGGATGAAAGGAGACTTTGGAGGTTGATGGAGAATCGCTGTAGGTCAAGACATTGGAGATTTCTGTGAGACTGATAAGGTAAGGGTGGTGTAATTTGGTTGCAGGGTATGCCGATGTCAACGCACAGCAGATGGTGGTCAGATATAGAAAATGGAACATTGGATAGATTAGAGGTGGTACAAAGATTGGTGAAGATGAGGTCAAGAGTATTTCCTGCTGTATGAGTTGTTGAATTAGTTGTTATAGAGAGCAGATGAGAGGCATCAGGGCAGTTGGAGTTGTTGATTGGGATATTAAAGTCCCCAAGAATGAGGGTAGGAGTGCTTGAGGAGAGGAAATTGAGTAGCAAGGAAGAAAAGTTTTCAATGAATAGCCTAGGATGACTGGGGGTGGGGAATAAATCATGGCATTTCTTAGAGGAGTGGGTTTAAATAGGCAGACAGTGTGAACTTGGAAGGAAGGAAAAGATAGGGCAGGGAAGTTTGATTGAATGGTACATGGAGGGGAGAGAAGGAAGCGCTATCAAAGGGGGAAGGCCAGCTCTCAGTGAGTGCAAGTAGTGTGAAAGAATTTGAGATAAAGAGGTCATGTATGGCTGTTAATTTTATATTGCTGCAGATGGAGTGGGCGTTCCAGAGTGCACACTGAATATTGGCAGATGGGGATAGACGGCATGGTATTGGGATGAGGTTTGGGTGTTTTCTGCTGTCTGTGTGAGCAGAGGAGAGGAGGGGCCCTGGGTTAGGAAAGACATCACCAGATGCTTGAAGCAGGAGGAAAGATAGACACAGAAGGTGTGAGTGGGTTTTATATGGATGGAGTCTTGGATAATATAGAGTGGGAGAAGGATGGCGAGAATAGAGAAAAGAGTGCAGGGCATGAGATGAGAGAAGGGGCGAGTGCTGAGGGAAAAAAGGGAAAGTAAGAGGACAAGATAGAGCATTACTCAGAAAAACTTGGAGGTAGGGGAGTAGGCCAGGGTAGGCACAGAGAGGAGATGCAGTGATGTTGAAAGCTGGGCTAGAGTGTAACAAGCAGAGGTGAGGAAGATAGAGTGAGTGAGTGAGTGTTAGGGGTTAAGAGAGTATAGGAGTGTGCTGATTAGAGACAATGTTGCAGCTGTTATTTCTGATTATAAAGATTTGTGTGTGAGATTCTATCTATAAATTAAATGATGACCGTGTGGTGGGGTGGTGAAGGGGAGGGAGGGCAAGTGTGCAGTATTTTAATGAAGAAATACTTTTACAACCAAAATTATTGAAAATAGGGCAAAGCATAGCTGTCACATGCAACGAAATACACAAGCTGAAGTTGTGCTTTGGGGCAAACAACAGATTACCTGACTCTCTGACTCCTAGTGGACAAAATGGCTCTGCTGAAAATGCTGAAAAACCATGACCTTTTCCGCCAGGGGAAAAAAGAAAAAGCGAGTCCGGGACAAGATGACAGCGGCACAAGATCCCCTATCCTCTTGTCTGAGGCGGGTTTGTATTCAGAATCCCTAAACTTCAACAGTGAGGAAATCTCACTATCTGAAAAGATGTTGTTGGACAGGCTGGCTGACCTCAGGGCTACTCTGAAAGAAGATTTTAAGTCAAACAAGGAAGAGATCCTCAAGAATCTGCACACACACTAGGCACAAGAACGGCTGCCTTGAAGAAAAGGACAGACGAACTATGCCTCACAAGCAATGAAATGGTAGATAGATTCCATAAGATTGAGGCAGACCATAAACACCTCAAGGAGAAACTGGTGGACCGCTCACGCCACAAAAACATCCACATGCGGAGTGTCCCAGAGTCTGTGCTCAATGACGCAATACCTGATGGAGCCATTTAAGGCGTTACTGCCCTCTTTGGAGCTTAAAGATATACTCCTTGACAGAGCACACAGAGTGCCAAAGCCCAGAAATCTGGCTCCAGATATCCCACGGGACATCATCACATGCCTGTACTACTTCCACGTACGAGAATCGATCTTAGCAGCCCAGAGGAAGTCAAGTCTCGCAGTATGCCGATCTATCATCTACCACTATAGCACGACGCAGAGACTTCAACAACGTAGCGAAGAGCTTAAGGAATCACAACATTTCCTACAACTGGGGATTTCCCCCGAAGCTGCTTATATGGAGGAACGGCTCCCTGGTCAAAGTGGACAACCCGGACGAAGGCCTTTAATTGCTGACAACATGGGGCCTACACAAAGACACCCCGGAGCCACCGCCTGAACGCACCCCAGAGGAAAAGAGCGGTAAAGGTCCGCAAGAACAAAAAAGGCTACCAAATAAAATGCAAGATAGACTAAGGGAGACACAACTATGCAACTGAGTTACTGGCCTCGGAAATGGGTCACTTACGAAACTTTATGTACAGGTCTGGGACATATGAACTGCGAGATTTGAGCGGTCTGTAAATATATAAACACCCCAGCAAACAGCGGGACCTGTAATCTTAAGGGGTAAAAGAGTATGGGTAAATTGGTGAGGGGCACCCATAAGCCCGCACAGGGGGAGACCAGGGAAACCCGCTACAATGGATTATTCATAACATATATATTTTTAAAATAAATTATTAACATTTCTCCATATATTCACCTATCCCCCTAGTCTGTTCTCATGCTGAACAGCATTCCAGTTTCCAGGACTAATGCCGGACTGGATCTCATCGTGGGCTAGAAGGGCATTATTATAGATTAAACCCTAGAAGGCATCAGAGGCAATATAAGGAAGGCAACTCACCAGGACCTTGGATCCTATACACCAGCTGCATTATCCCCCCCACTACTTGCTTGTTCCTAACAGAGTCAAACGGTGTACAACCGTCGGATGAGGATCCAGAGGGACCACATCCTAAATATGCTGGAAGACATTGTTGATTGTACATACTTTTGTTTACATGTTGACTTTTTTTATGTTAAATGGTTTTGTGTTCATGTGTGCAGGGTAAACGTACTGATCTACTACATGCTGAGACACCCAATAGAGGACACAACACCCCAGAGGACACCCAACAGAGGCTATAACAAGACACATGCCTTTAGGATATAATGGCGCAACAGTTTACAATACTCTCCTTTAATGTAAACAGCCTCAACACTCCACAGCCTTTGCATGCTTACAAGAAATGCACTTCTGCGTCAAAAATCCGCCCACCTTTGCCTCACCTAAATACCCAGTAGCCTATCATTCCTATGCTCCTAACTAGTGACACTGGGACAGTAACCCCTGTCCCTGAAGGCCCCACTCCCAGGAGACTACCCATTAAAACTTCATCCCCTTCATGTTTCCCACTCTGTAGAGACTTTCAAATGTACACTCACTGCACCTAGAATCCGGCAGGCCACCTACTCAAGGGCGGGATGGAGGGGGGAATGTGAGGGCACCCAGATTAATCCCCAAACATACAATCTGGACATAGCAGAGGGCCAGCAACCCGCGCCTGAAATTACCGTCCCACCAAGCATTGATTTAACCTGTTGTGGCTTTAATTTCTGTCTGACTGCAGGATCATCTTGATTCATTTTTTGCTGTGGGGGGGCACTAGGCACCTGGGGCCCCTGCTGCCCATCTGGGTGGTTCACTGGCCAGGCCAGGGCCCAGAGTACTCTCATTGATGTGAGAAGTCAAAGGGGGAAAGAGGGGAGGGGGTGGGAATAGAGTGGGGGGGGGGGGCAGAAGGGAGATCGCACAGACATGGCACTGAGGGGACGCCTACAATACAAGGACCGACCGCACCCTGATTGGGACACCATGGACACCACAGCTCACTGAACTTTAGCCACAGACCGACCATAGGAAGTGGAGTATAGAACCCAACCCCAGAAAGTAGCAGAGCAATAAATACCTGATAATTTGATAACCCGACATGTTTATCAAAAAACTGTATAAGCTTCAATGTGTGGTCGGTGGTGACAATGTATGATGCATTAATGTTAGCAATTCTGTGAGTTGAACAATGTACTGTTGTGAAAAAGAAAACTTTACCAATAAAAAAAATATATATTTTTATGAAGACATGCATTCATATCTTATGTCAATAAATGATTGTTACTATACTAATATTGACGTAGTATGCATAACATAGTTAGAAAAAACTAAAATTAGCATTGGCTTTATTTTATCATTTGCATTACAAAGATTTAACAGGACTCAAATAAACCATGCTTATGCTTATAAATTGTGTAAGAAAATCATTAATTTTGTGATAATTGCTTATCTGTGTTGATTGTTTTTAAAATCTTGCTTATTACAGCTTCTCCGCACATTGTTATTACACATTATAGTGACCAAGATGGTGTCACAGTGTCGTGCAAAGTGGTGGGATTCTATCCTGGACCTGTTCACATCACACTGAATACAACTTGTGGAGTAATGAAGAGGAGTATGAAAAACCCATTAAATGAAACAAACTTTGATGGAACATTTAATGTTACATGCGAATATGGGCTATATATCTCAAGCTGTGACAATGGTACAGAAATAACCTGCAAAGCAAAGCATCAATCTGAGTGGTTCAATGCAACCACTGTACTCCAGGCAGACACTCCTACTCCAGAGAAGGACAATGGTATGATTTAGTGTAATCAAACAATTACAGTATTAAACATGGAAAGACTAAGTAAACAGGGGAAAATGGCTGTAGGCTCTAACAACCAACTCAGATCTGCTTACAATTTTCTTATCAAACAATCAGGTGGGGGGAGGCTAGGGAGCCATAGTAAAAATAATATATTAACCATACTGGGCAAACGTGTGCAATTCCTCATCCTTCTCCTTCTTATAAGGATCATGCAAATCACCATTTTTCCAGTGCTGAATTTCCCTCCATGCAACGGCCAGTTCCTCCTCCGGTGACATCATGCTACAGACAGTCTCCTCTTTGTCTCCTCGTCCAATTCAGTGCTTTTCACAGAGAAGCATTGGGGATGGAAGGAGTATGAGTAATACACTTGTCCCATTAAATGCTTCTCATAGGGAAGCATTGACAGACACCAAACGTGACATAATGGAGTCTGACTTGGTCATAGCACAAGTACCCTCTAGTGGCTGGCAGGAAAACAGTCACTAGAGGGGTGTTTAGCTCTCCAATGAAACCATTACCATTTCTAAAAAAAATAATAATTTTGTATTGCATTACTAAAACGACAGGACCACTGCACCTAGACCACTTAATTGACATGGAGTGGTCTGTGTGCCTATAGTGGTCCTTTAAATGGACACTCTAAGCACCAGAGCCACTACAGCTTAATGCAGTGGTTTTTGTCTATTAGTACACCTCTAGTGGCTGTTACTCAGACAACCACTGAAGAAGCTTTGCATTCCTGTATTCCTTGTACTCCTGCAATATTTTCTGTACTAACGGTGAGTGCAGTAGCACAAGGGTATGTATCCTACAACTGGATTGGCTGATGATCTCACAAGAGACTGAGAGGTGGTCACAGAGATACTGAACTGCATGGTGAGTAAATTCTTGATTTTTTATTTATGGGAGGAACATAATCTAAAAGGTTAGGAATTAACTTTAACATTAGAAAGATGTGTTTGTATTGCTAACGTTAGAGATTCCTTTAAGCCAATCAAATTATAGGAGTACTCCGACATTCCAAATACAAACCTGTATTTCTAATGTTGCAGTGTTCTCAAGCCTATATAGATTGATTGCCCTCCCCTGTAAAAGTTCAATAATGTGATTTCTTTACTTTTCATTTCCACTTTGTGTCGGTCTTACCACAGCTGCTCCCCAACCCCTGGCTGATAATCATAGAGATAGATTAGCTCAATTAAAACAAAAGACTGACTGCTCATTTCCAACTTTGCCTCTATAAGCCAAACATAACATTTTATCAGAAATTAAAGGGTTGCAGTTTCACTCTAAAAACGATGGTAAGTCTATGTCTATGAGAATTTTTACACCATAGTGATATATATTGTTATGAAATACAGAAAGGGGAGTATGACATTATAGCCAAATGTTATATCTTGCTCTACCATATATGAGTTCCCCTTTTTAAAAGGTATGTGGTAGACTTGTGTGTCAAGCTTTTTCCCCCCCTTTACTTCTACAGTTCAGCTGAAGTACCATATTTTATAAATACAAAAAAGGAAAACTGCACTCCAAGGACTTATTGTTACAAAATATAAAACTTAGATTTTCTTTACATGATCCAATAAAATGATGACGTTTCCGCTCTCAATTGAGAGCTTTCATCAGGACATCAGTATAAAATAGACAAATTGACACAATGTCATAAAACATCCCACACTAGCTATCTTGACTTGATTGGCATTGTTTCAATTTGTCTATTTTAAGATAATCACTTAAAAAGGTAATGATTTATGCTACAGTTGCAAATTTAATAATTTGCGATTGATATTTTATTGTTGTTAGCTTTATTTTTTTCTTATGCTTTTTATTATAAGTTTTATTATCTACTTCAGTGTGGCTTTAACTTTAGTGCCCCACCGTTTTAGTTTTTTCTATAAATTGTCTAGTATGGATGAAACGTTAACATTTGTTTTTGCCTATGGTGGCCTATAGTGTCAAAATTCCTAGCATAGGTCTTGCTAGTTTGGTATGCACAAACAACATCATAAAAAGCTAAAATTATTCTGATTATACTCCCAGGAGGGTGAGAAGTGCAGATTGTCAAGAGTAAATGGCATAATATAGATAATAATAATACTGTGTGATTTTTATAGCTCTTTTCTCCCTGTGAGACTCAAATCACTTTACAAATATATAAAACAAACATAAAAGTTAAGAGTTTCTGAAAGTCAGATAAGCTGACTGAATGCCTGATAAAAGAGGTGGGTGTTTAGCTTTTTTTAAAAATGTCTGTAAGGATGGTGTCTCTCTGATTGAGCAAGGTAAAGAGTTTCAGAATGTGGGGGCAGCATGGCTGAATTCCAAGGAACCTGAGTTTGTCTTTATTCTTGACACCGATAGGAGAGATTTGTTGGCTGACTGAAGTGAGCATGATGAAATATGTGGTGTCAGGAGCTCTTTCAGGTATTCTGGACCCTGACTGTTTAAGGTGTTGAAGGTCAGCAGGCAAATTTTAAAATAAATGTTTACCAGTTAATTGGAAGCCAATGCACAGAGTGAGAGGACAGGTGCTATGAGAGATGAACGATTTTTGTTGGTCAGCAATCCGATGCTGCACTTTTGTACTGTCTGTAGGTGATGGATTCTTTTTTCTGGGAGGCCCAAGTAGAGTACATTACAAAAATCTAGATGAACGGGCACAAATGCATGGATTAATGTTGGCATATCATCCGGTGGGATGAAGTGTTGTATCCTGGCTATGTTTCTTAGATGAAAGAAGACAGATTTTATTACAGAGAAAATCTGTAGTTTAAATGATAGTCAAGAGTCAATCAGCACTCTGGACTTCCTACCTCTTTTGGACTAATGAGTTCAGAGCCTCCAAGTTCCAGGCCGTTGGGTTATCATGAGGTAATTTTGTTGCCCATGGTCCTCTGAACAAGAGTAACTCTATTTTGTCAGGGTTCACTGTTAGCCAACTACCTTTCATCCACTCAATGAGTTTCGTTAAACACCTGTTGATGAGGCAATACAGGCCTTTAGTATCAGCAAAGGAAAAGTAGATTTGTGAGTCATCAGTGTAGCAATGATTATATTAGGCAAGTGATGTTATAGCTTGATAGATGGGACTCCAGTTGAGTTGACACTACTTTTTTCAATTATTTCCCCCCAGAAATGGATGGTTGGATACTGGTCTGTAATTTGCCATGCAGCCTGGGTCTAGTGAAGATTTATTTAGGTGGGGTTTTACCACTGCTTCTTTTAGAGAATATAGGAAGTTTACAGATTTTAGTGAACACTGCACAAATTTTGTGTTTTGCATATGCATATTAGATGAGCTGGAGCAGGTACTAAGCCACAAAGCCTTTGGGGCAACACTTTTGAATGCTTGTTTTAACCTCTTCTATATTCACATTTATAGATGTGACCATAAACGTGGGCAATCTGGCATTCCATTGTAGTGGTTCTGGTGTATAACTGGTTGACCTGCTGTGACAGAGGCTCGAATGGAGGAAATATTGTCTGTGAAGAAAACTGCAACTTCTTCACATTTCTCCTGAGAAAAGTTGGTGGGATATGTGTCACGTGCGTGGGCTATAGGCCCAGCCGAGACAGTGGGGAGAGTGTGGAAGTGACAGAGTTAATGACACCAGACCCCTGGTTACCTATTGCTAGTCCCAGCAACCACTCAATTAACCCCTGCAATCCCTTCTACACTATCCCCCTTAGTACTACTGCCACCACCAAGACTTTTAAACCCGGGCGTCTTAGGTTACCCCACACACAGGAGAATTATAGTATCACAGTTCTACTTTTACTGATAAAACATATATAGTTAACCCCTTTTGGTAACGTGTTTACCTGAGCTTTCCTCTGGAGAGTGAAGCTCATAGAGAACAGAGACACAAGCTGATTAAGTAAACATTTAATCTGACAAAAGGATTCACAGTGCTGAGTACAAAATACAGAAATAAATGACATACAGATAACAAATTGCAAAACAGTACATAAAATAAAATAGGAGAAAACACAAGAAATTCCTTACATATATTTACCCCATATAGAATTCTTGTGGGAGTCTTAGATGGTATAGATCTCCTAGAAGTTACTGACAAAAGAAAAATGAATAACTGACTTCCCTGGATAGTCCAACACCCTCATATATCTAAACTAGTTGTTTCTCAGTGGGCAGACCCCTGGGGGGGGATCAGAGGGGGCTGGTCTGGCAGTCTATTGCCCACTCTATGAAATTCCTTGTGTCCAGCTCTGGTGATGGCTATCTAGATGTTTTATGGTCTAGGCCTGGTGCAAGATCAAAGACCACAATAAATGTCATCCCAAGGTTTACAAAAAAACTACTCTTAACATATATAAACACACATCAAACACCAACTCATGCTTTTGGCATGACACCTCCCCCTTAAGATGGTGGACAGAAAAATTCAGCCACAGGCTGATTTATCTGTCTACCATTAACCCTCTAGTTGCCGAGACAGGCCATCTGCCCTTTTTGTGCTGGGCAGTGAAATTATACTGTTGGAGGATAGGGCTCCAATGGAGCAGTTTATCATTGTTACCTGTCACCTGCAGCAGGTTGTGATCAGTCCATACCACAGCTACACCCTCAACAAACATGCCTGATTTGCCTGTTTCAATTTCCCATCGATCTCTGGTAACATCCCTTAAACCACACCCACTGCGCTCATGTAGTAGCTGTAAGGGGAAGAAACCAATGGATTTCTGCAGCACTCCCCGGTAAGCACACAAAAAAGCAGACAGAGAACACTCCCAGGATAGATGTGCTGTATCAACACCCATCATCTCTTTCATTTTGCGGTCTGTCTGCTGGGCTTGTTGCACTATCAGACTCTGAACCTTTGGTTCACAATCAGAAAGTTGCTTAGGTGTATGCGTGAGTTGTGATAAACTGACAAGGTTCCTGGTTCCTCCAACAGTATGTTTCCCTGCAGCCATCCTTCCTGGACCCACAGGCTGAGTCTGTCCGTGCCCCTCACTTTCACTCCAGGTCATCACACATACCGAACTTTGGAAACTGGCTAAGCCTGCCGCAGAGTAAAGCTCACACACCTTCTGCCCTCCCTCATAGCCTTGCTGTCCCTTCACATTTTCACCCAGTGCATCACATACATCTGCTTCAGGCACATATTGGCACATATTTTCATTCAGCCCCCTCTCGCTGGAAGGCTTTTCCCATACATTTTCACAGGACACATTTGACCCCCCTTGATCAGATACAGAATTTTGCACACACTCGCATAATTTCTTCTCCAAGGCAGGCCATCCTCTCGCAATCTCACATAGCCCCTCAGACTCTGCAGCCGTGACCCACTGCTGACTTGTTACCACTGCTGACTTGTTACCCTGGCTCTCACCTTCCTCCTCTCCCTTACTCTCTGACATCCCAGCCTCACAGTATTTTAATACAGGCACATCACTACTCACCCCTATCTCACATTTGGTAGACATCACTGGTTCAGTTACAGGTAGATCTTTATCCACACCCTGCTCTCCCTCCCAGCAATCACACTTCACAATGTCTCCCAAAGTTTCACACAATACCTTAGGTGGAGCAGTCAGCCCTTCTGGCTCACAAACAGTGTCCGCTGGAGCATAGTGACAGAGCATCCTGCCCAAATCATTCCCCAACAGAACATTAACAGGGATATCCTCTGAAATCCCCACTTCCCGCAAACCTTTGCCCACACCCCAATCAAGGTACACACGTGCCAAGGGCACAGCGGGACGCACACCCCCAATTCCTTTGATGGACATGGTCCTTCCAGGGATTATGTCCTCCGTATTCACCACTTCAGGGCGCACCAGGGTGAAGGAAGCTCCAGAATCTCTCAGTCCCATGGTCACTCGGTCACCCACAATTACACTCTGCAGGTTATCCTCTCGTTTCCCCACGGACCCACCCACAAGCAATACTGATGGTGCCCCTCCACGGACTGGTGAGGGCATATTCCTAGTGGGGCAAGTCCTGCTCAGATGACCAATCTGGTTGCATCGAAAACAACGGCGGGCATCTGACTCACTTGACATAGCCCCGGCTACGCTGGCAGTCGGCGGTGAAGTTCTCACTGCAGATCTTACAAGTGGTGTTTGAACTGTAGCTTCTCTCCAGGTCGAAGTAGCAGCTGACACAAGTCCACGCCTGGATGTGGGTGCATGGATGTCGGCATAGTCATCTGCCAGTTCTGCAGCAGCCCTAGCATTTTTTGGCTTTCTTTCCAAAATCCACTCTCGTACATTAGGGCTCCGGGTCTGCAAGAACTGCTCCAGGACCATTAAGTCATTAAGGGCTTCATAGGTAGTAGCTTGTATTCCTGTTACCCATTGCCGGAACGTGGTTTCTAATTGTGCAACATATAGAATGCAGCTGGATGATGGGCATTGCTGCATACTCCTAAAGTTTTTCCTGTAAGACTCAGGAGTAAGGTTAAAAGTTTTTTGCAATGCAGATTTGATTGCCTCATAGTTGTTATCAGTCTCTGGGGGAAGGGACACAAACACATCCAAGGCTTTCCCTTTCAATTGTGGAGTTAAATATCTGCCCCACTGGTCTGAGGGTAGTTGATGCTGCCTGCATACTTTCTCAAAACTTTTTAAAAATACATCCAAATCTGTCCCTTCTTCGAGGGAAGGAAAATCATCCTTACGGAGCCTACGTGTGCTGGACTCTGATGCATTGCTGTTCAGTGAGGACTGAAGGGTAAATTGCAGTTTAGCAAGTTCCAGCTCATGTCTCCTTTGTGCCTCCCTTTCTGCAGATTCCCTTTCTGCAGCCTGCTGTTGGATCATCACATGCAGGGCCTCCTGAGGATTTGCAGCCATCAGTTGCCGAAATAAATCAGTTGAGCAAATGTCCTTAATGTTTTGAGGGGTACAACCACCAGGCATTTCAGTAAGCAACACTCCTGCAGTAGTAGGGAGCTCGGTAACCCTTTCAGTGTCCGTCTCTGGCTGGAAAATATGGCTGTCAGCCTCCACAAGGTCAGCAATAAGTTGTGCCTTATTTTTGCCAAAAGTTGGTAAATTCTTTTCTTGGCACAACAATTCCAAGGCCTCTTTTGATTGTTTGCGATAGGCCTCCATATTCACAAATAGGATAGAGAAAGAAAAACAAAAGATGGGAGGGGAGAACTGTTTTGCACTTTGTATGTATTTCAAATCAGCACTGAGCTTGGTCTTTGGAAATTACACAAAAACAAGTATGCAATTTCTTTTAGTGCTAAGACCCCCTTTACAGGTAAAATCTAGCAAGCACTAAAAATCTCTAAATATATCCCACTAGCTGCCGCCAGTTTGTCACGTGCGTGGGCTATAGGCCCAGCCGAGACAGTGGGGAGAGTGTGGAAGTGACAGAGTTAATGACACCAGACCCCTGGTTACCTGTTGCTAGTCCCAGCAACCACTCAATTAACCCCTGCAATCCCTTCTACACTATCCCCCTTAGTACTACTGCCACCACCAAGACT